TTATTCTTGCATGTTCTGGAACAGTACCATAAAGTGCTGGTATAATGGTAACTCAAACAAGTAAAAAAGCAGCTACTTTTGACCGGGTCGAAATTTTAATATCCTCTACCATTTAAAAAAAATCGAAAAATGCCGAAAAATACGGAGGCTATAGGTATAAGTATTTTTTTTTTTTTTTTTTTTTTTGTCATAGGCTGTAATACCCATTCAAATACGAAATTTGAAACAATTCTGGCAAATAATGTAGGTAACATTATTAAAATAACGAATATCGGCAGTTAGCGTTATATGGAGGCTATACGAAGACGTGGACAATTTTCTGTCAAAAGCTGTAGTATCCATTACGAACTTCAACTTACAAATTTGAAACAATTTCTGTGAATAATTCTGCTAAAATCAACAAAGTACCGAATATCGGGAGGCAACGTTATATGGGGGCTATACGAAGACGTGGACCTGCACATACAATTTTCGGTCTTGGGCTGTAGTATCCATTTCGAACTTCTAGTACCAACTTTGAAACAATTCCAATTGATAATGTCGCTAAAATCATCAAAATATCGGGAGGTACCGTTATATGGGGACTGTACCAAAACTCGGACCTACATCACCCATTTTCAATACCAAAAGTCCTGCAGACGTAATACACATTTAAATAAAATTTTATCAATCTACTTCATTTCGTTCGGAATCTAGAGTGATTTCTACAGAAGGACAGACGGCACTATTTTTAAATAAAATTTCGAAATTCGTCAAAAACGTTGTTAAAAATATTTAAGGGAATTGAGAAAAATGCATTTTTTTATTAAGTTAATACCATTCATGAACAGGCCTAGCGTTAGCGTATCCATTGTTGCTATATCAAAATAGGGAGGTTTTTTTTTAATATTTGGTACCAATTTCAAATAGTGAAAAGCAATGAAAAATCGTCAAAAACTTTGTTTAGATTAATAAAGGGTAAATTTTGTCTATTTCGCTCTCTCTCTCTATCTCTCGGAATCCTACACGCTTTGAGTAAAAGGTCGATAGCATTGACTGCAATGCTAAAATTTTCAAAAATGTAAAAATATTACTAAGATAACCGATTTTCCTTTATAATGTGGAAAAAATAATGAAACTAGAAGATTCTTGAAGATTTATGGTTGGGCGCCACCATGTGGAAATTCCCCACAGGGAATTTTATATTTGCTAGGTGAAAATTGTACAAATGGCTACGAATTATTGGTTAAACGAACACACCTAATATGTTTTACAAATATTAATTTTTAATTGCTATGTTCCGGAACCTGCCGGAAGGTACAAATATTACTAAGGTAAACGATTTTCCCTTTATAATGACAAAACTAGGCGCCACCTTGTGCATTTTCACAAAATCAAATTTAAAGTTTCATAATTTGTAACATTATAATAACACGGAATTTGTTGTTTCATATCTTCTTAGGTTTTAATACATTCGGTAGGTTCTACTTCCTTGCAAATTTGTGTTAGGTTCTGAGTTTTAAAATTTTCGTTCCAAACATTAGAAGAAAGTGTATTGTACAACAAGTTGAAATAACAACAATATAAAAATTTGTTGGGTTGCAAGTAATACAAAACACTGTTGTAGAATCTAAAAGGTTTGCATTTTTTAAAAAACAATAAGAGAAAAATCGGGTTTCGTAGTGAAAAGTTTAACAGAGTCTTAATGTCATCTAAAAAATCTCACGTGAATGTAAACAACGACGAGCTAGGTACTAAAAATATTAGCTGCGGTTAAAACATACCTCAGCGAAATGCGGTTGTAGACCCTAGCTCTCTTTGAAAAAAACCGTTTCAGGAAATTAAGAGTCGTTTTAGCTGTGTCCGGTGTGAGTAGAACAACCTTTGAAGGGATTATCCGATTTCGTCCAAACTTTGTAAATTGTAATATTATTACAAAACTTAGATCGAGGCAACTCCCGCATTTGAGGTCAAAATTGTCAATAAACTCATAGAAAGAGAAAGAATTAAATGATTTTTTTTAATCTTGCAAATCCCAGTATTTGTATTAGTGCTAGGTCAGGTGTGAAAATGGAAAATATCGATCTATTCCTTGTAGTATATCCTCCACAAAGGGTCAATTGAATAATTACAACGCTTATAAAATGTGAAATAATAGCTCGATTGTCTTCAACTTTTTGCGTTTCCCAATATTTTTATCACGACAAGTTCTTCAAGTACCTCCACCACAAAGAATCAAAATATGAATCAAAATGTCTAAGTTTGTATTGCAATATATTTTTTTGCTCCAAAAGCTGCTTCTGTTAGATTATATGTTTCAATTTGGCAAAGCTAATGAGTTCGACTGGGGAGAAATTGTATTCAAAAATTATTGGCTAAAATTTTTGAATATATTTGTTACAAATGTTGCCCATTTCAGCAACTGTCTTATTTTATAAAGATATTTGCAAGAATTTAATTCCCGTAGTTTTCGTACTTTTTATATTGTAAAACTAGTAAAAGAGAGCAAATGTTTCATTTGCTCTGAGATAACGGCTTTACCCAGAAATTGCAGAAACTTAAAACTAATACAAATGTAAAAAATAAACCATCGTTCAAAATTATAATTTCTCACATCTCTCTTCATTTTGAGTGTAAGTTTCACGAGGTTTTCTTGCAAGGGAACAGTCTTCATATTAAAAATTGTAAAATTAGTGCAATATAGTACTATGTTGTAGGTTCTTGAACACAACTAATATTAGCATTATATAATTTATTAGGCGAAACTTTGAAGCCAACGTCCAAACTCATCGCTTTTTATTCATCCAAGATCGCCTTCCATCAGTATTAGAAAATAGGTCAATGTGAATATGAATAAATTGTATATCGGCATATAACAGATTAGTTTTTAGTTCTTTTTAAACATTTCAATAGAAATCTGCCAAAATTCACGTTTTCCTGTAGCGCATTTGTTTGTAAGAGGCAAAAGGAAACGAGATAGACCCATAGTTCCTTTTGATACTCTGCATAGAATCACATTCTGAGTCGATTTATAAACAAATAAAAAAATTACAGATCGAATTTATCTCCCGATCCAGATACAATTTTGCACAAATCATTTGTTTGACGCATGGGCGAAGCCTATTGAAATTTTAAATAATCAGTCAAAATTTAGATACGGCTCCATATATATCTTTACCCGATTTTCCTTTTATTGTGCACCAAACGTGTAATATTAGCCTAAATAGTACCAAATACGACCAAATTAAGCCCAGAAATAAGTATATTAAATTTGATGAAAATCGGCTCCCATATATATTGCTCATCCTCCTCAGCCGTAATATGCACTCTGTAACAACGATATTTGGGGAAATATATCAAATACAGCTCAGAAACACCTTCGACAAAATGTATCGAAATCGGTTCAGATTCGGATGTAACTGTAAATGGGTAATATAAGCCCGAATTGAAACGGCACAATTGTCTCAACAAATTTAATTGAAATCTATTCAGAGAAGGATATTCCGCTCAGTTCCTTTAGACTTTAAATTATAATCATAGTAAAAAACCATGTTCTGATTCTCGCTATTTTGATAAATTGTGATAAACTTCGTTGCTCAGTAATTAATATAAAATTGATTTTTCAATATTTAATTTTGGTAAGTAATGGAAAAATAATTTTATACGATTTCTTGACAAACCAACTTATTAATATCAATTATAACCAAAAAATCAATGCCTACAATAGGATATATGGATTTTTGGTAGTTGGAAGAATTTTCAAAAATATGATTATTCCTTTGTACACCACTGAGTACATACCAATGAAAATGTCCTGAAAAACTTATTATTGATTCCTAACATTTGTCAAAGGTGTATAAGAAACATCATGACAGCCTACAATAATAACCTATAACATATCTCTTTATCATATTATTACTAGAGGAATTTTGAAGTCATAAAGATTACCGAAGACTCCTCTATTCCAAATAGAATTCGGAAAACAATTTCTACAAATTGTTATTCAATCTAAACATGATGAAGAAACGAAAAACAAGAAAATCCATACTCCCTGAGGTCATTTGGCGACAAATAAAATTCCCACAAACGCAAAAAAAACGGCTTCAAACAATCCTCAGACGCTAGTAAAGAAAAAAAATCGAAACGAAATGTAAAGAAAAGAAATACTCAGAGAGGAAATAGTAATCAAGGAAATAAGTATGTAAAGGGAACTTTGAGAAAGAAAGAAACCTGAGAAAAAGGAAAATGGAAAACTAAATACTTTTTTGTGAAAAAAATCCCTATAAATATCAAAAAAAAAAATTGGAATTATTTTTTTTAATTGCCTTATAAAATAAAATCGTTGGAATCTTACTTTACTTAAGTTAAAGAAATTAATTTATGTAGATAGCGAGTGGGAGAGAGCTAAGTTAGTGACACATATATCCAATGGTAGCCCCCTCCCTCATTTGAAAACAATACAACAAATAATAACAACATCCACATGAAATGCTAAAGGACGGATTTACAATACCAATAGAGAAATGTTGCCACAAAAGGAAACCATAAAATAAAGGAAAATGTCAAAGGAGAATTTGGAAAAACATATAGAAAATAGAAAAGATTGACAAAAGAGATGGAGAGAGAGAAAGGAGAATTTTTCTCATTTCAGATTGCTTTCGTTCTAAAATGTCTCTACAAAATTTGTGATATCTCTCATTTCAAATTGCTCTCTTTTATATAAATTATTTGCTCATATTATCACAGAGTTTGTGTTTTTTTCTCTCTCTCTATTTTTTACTCACTCACCCTCTTTCTCTCTCTCTCTCTCTCTATTTGGACGACTTAGAAGCTTTAGTACATTAAGGTTTGAAAATGAGAAGAAGGCACGAAAAGGGAGAGAGGGTGGAAGAGAGAGAGAGAGCGAGAGAGAGAGAACAAGAGACTGTGCTTTATTAGTACACAACCCGTACTAAGGAGCGAGCCCCAAAATTTGCTGCCAACCAAAACTTAGTTCAAACGTTCGTTCGGTCGGTCGGCGGTCGGTCTTTTAAAACGGAATCGAAAAAGAGAACGTCGTCGTTGTCGTATACTTGTCTAGAAAAAAAGAACTTTTTTCTTTTTGGTTTGTGCGCTCGGTTACATAACACAGTTCTGTAGGCCAAATGTTGGGACAAAATTTATAAAAGTAATAATGAAAAAAAGTTGCAAAACTCAATTGTTTAAATAAAATTAACAAAAAAATCTACAATAACAGGAACTTGTTTAACAGTGAAACATAAACTGGAATTTGTGATTTTTATTAAATAATACACAAAAAAAACTTTTTGAAGAAAAAAAAACTGTGAAAAATATTTAGTGAACTAAAGAAAAAACTGTAAAAATTACATAAAAAGTGGAAAAAAATGAAAGACATTTGAAAACTGTTCTTAAATAAGAATCTCATAACAGATGTTCTCATTTTATCTATGCCCTTAACTATATTTTAATACTCAAAAACCCCTCCCCCATTGTTACCTCTATATTTTATCCTAACCTAACCCTAACAGATGGATTGAAAAGTTACGGAAAATATTTTCCTATTTTTTTGGTTTATCAAAAAAAAAAAAAAATCATGGATTAAAAATACTTGGTCCGAATAGAACAAAAATTAAAAAAAAATCTCAGAGAAACTCATATAGCGTCTTTTCCTTAAACGAAGTCTCAATTCTTACTTCATTTCTCACACAGCCGTATTATATATCTTCAAAAAGAAGTGGAATTCACAAATTCCCCTTTCATATTTATTTGATTCATTTGATCGGACAAGGGGAAAAAGGTTCAAAAAATATATATATTTCATTTTATTTACTACTCTTCTGAGCCGCTACTGTATAGTAAACGCTAAAAAGTCTCTGACTTGTTGGAAAAAGAGGTTATATCACCATTATATATAACGAAAATATTGTAATTTCTATTGCTTATAAAACAACAATTGAAGCGTTTTGACATAATACATTTTCTCCAAAGTCAACTTAGCTTCCTTTGAAATTCGACACTGCCCGATTTTTTGTCAAAACTACATTTTTTCTTTTCCCAACCATCATAAATGGCATTAGAAGCTGCGTGAATTGCGAAATTTAGTTTCAAAAATTCATTTATCATTAATTTTGACGAGGGCTGAAAAGTGTCGGGCTTAATCAAAAAATTTTATTTTTTCTGAAAAGTAAAACTTTTTTGTTTGAAATCTTGATGATAGGTCTTGATTTTTATGAAAAAAGTGTCAAACACGCATTTTCTCAAAAGTCAACTTAGCTTCCTTTGAAATTTGACACTGCCCCAATTTTTGTCAAAACAACAATTTTTCTCCTCCCAACCTTCATAGATGGCTTTAGAAGCTGCGTGAATTGCGAAATTTAGTTTCAAAAATTTACTTATCTTGAATTTTGACCAGGGCTGAAAAGTGTCGGGCTTAAAGAAAAAATTGTATTTTTCAAACATTTAGGTCTTTTTGTTTAAAATGTTAATAATGAACATTGATTTTTATCAAAATAGATACCAAATATACATTTTCTCTAACGTCAATTTTTATTTACTTGAACTTCATGAATGTCCTAAGAAGATGCATGAATTTCGAAATTTAGTTTCAAAAATTTACTTATCTTCAATTTTTCCGAGGGCTGAAAAGTGCCGGGCTTAATTAAAATTTTTATTTTTCTAAAAATTAGAAATTTTTGATGAAAATTTTGATAATGAACATTGATTTTTATCAAAATAGATACCAAATATACATTTTCTCTTAAGTCTATTAAGTTTCCTTTGAAATTTGATACTGTTCCAATTTTTGTCGAGTCAACATTTTTTCTTTTCCCAACCTTCATGGATGGCTTGGGAAGTTCCATGAATTGCGAAATTTAATTTCAAAAATTTAATTATCTGCAATTTTAGGTGGGCTGAAAAGTGTCGGGCTTAGTCCAAAAATTTTATTTTTCTAAAGTTTAGAATTTTTTGATAAAAAAAATTTAATAATGAGGTCCACTTTGATCAAAATTGAATATAAACAATTAGTCTGACCTAAAAAACATTTTTCTGAAGACAATTTAGCTTTCTTTATAAATTGACACTCTCCCAATTTTTGTCAAGTCAACAATTTTTCTTTTCGCAACCTTCATGGATGGCTTAGGAAGTTACGTGATTTGCGAAATTTAGTTTCAAAAATTTAATTATCTGCAATTTTGAACAGGGCTGAAAAGTGTCGGGCTTAATTAAAAAAATTGATTTTTTCTGAAATTTGAAACATTTTTATAAAAATCTGTATAATATACATATATTTTTATAAAAAAAATATATAAAAATCATCATGTCTCCACATCGACATCACTTACATTTGTTTTTAAAATGTCTATGCGATTCCTTTTAAGATGTCTCATTCTTCCAATTTTTGCCTAACAAAAAATTTTTCCTTTCAAATACTTCCTAGATGGGTTAGCAGTGTCCGTTTTAAAAAATAATTTATTCCGAATTTTAGCCAGGGCTGAAAAGTGTCGGGCTTAAGAAAATATATATTTTTTGTAAACATTTTGTCCCTTTCGACACAACTTTTAAATTTAATTTAATTTAAATTCATTTAATTTAATTTTACAAACATAAGAAGCAAATATTTTAAATTTGCGAATTTTGTTTTTTAAAATGGATTTATGCAGGAATTCGGCCAGACCTGAAAAGTGTCGGCTGGAAAAAATGTATTTTTGGGAAAATTTTACTTTTGGGAAAAATTCTAAAATTGAGTTTTTAAAACGCCCTTTTTTCTGGTTTATGTTCATTTCCGTAACTTTTCCCTTTTCATCTCCTGCCTTTTACAAACCTCTTAAAACATTTTTTGCTAACTTTCTTCCTTCATTTCCCTTCTTCCCCCCTCTCTCTAGGTGTCACCATTAGACTCAACCAAAAATAAAAAAGTAATAAAAATTTATCAACAAAAGTATTAAAACAAACGACGGAACGCACCATTGAACAAAAAGTGTAAAAAATCTAAGCATTTCCACACACAATATCGCCCAACGTACACTCGAAGAAAAACAAAGTCCTAAACTTGTCGACGAGCCCGCAACAACAAAAACAACAACAAAAGCAAAACAACAACAACCAAATCAAACAACAAAAAATAGATCAGTCAACATGTTTTTGCAACACCACAGTTGATTATGATATTTAAAAGGACATTGCAGCAGCAACAACAACCGCAACAATATTATTATTCAATAATTAATTGTTATACGAATATTTAAGAGAAAAAACAACAAAAAAACTACAATTAAATACCTTCCACAAAAAAAAGTAATTAATTAACGATTTTTTGTAAATCAAAAAAAAACTTTCAACTCTACGCATCTTTGAAAACCAACAAAAAAGCAAGTTTATTTAAAACTCCTACCCCGTTCTAAAGAAACAACAACACCAACCAACCACACACACAACAACAACACATCGCAAAAATGGCCGATAAAAAGATTGCTGAACAATATTATGCGCCACCACCCAAAATGGGCAAATGGGAGGGCTTCAAGAAATTTCTGTGGAACAGTGATACTAGCCAGTGTCTGGGCCGAACAGGCGGCAGCTGGGGTAAGTAGAATTTTATTATGGAAGTAAAAAAAATATATTATGTAATTTCAAAATTAACAGCAGCTTATTAAAACTATAAAATTAGTCAAAGGTTGCTGAATATTTGAAAAATAATTTGAAGAAGGGATTTTTAATTTTTATTAAATTATTCTGTATATTTTAATGGATATAAATTTAAAAAAAGAAAAATAAGGAACATACAAAGACCATATATATTCACTACTTGCTATGAACAAAAAATTAGAAAAAAAAATAGTAAGAAGGCTAAAAAATGGACTTTTAAAAGATGAAAGACCTATGACATCCATAATTTTCGGTAATTCTCTGAAGGCGATTTAAAGCTCCAAGCTGAAAGGCCTGGAACATCTCTGAATTCAATTCAAAGCTTCAATAAAAATATTTAAAATAAGCAAACTTTATAATCAAGATTTCTCAAATAAAAAGCCACTAGCGGAACATGTCATCAAGTAAAAAAAAGACATTTCTAAATTTACCGGTTCTGTTACGGTATCACGAAAAAGCAAAGTTACATATTGTTTCCACAGATTGTAGACAATATTCTCAGCTATTCAAATGTGAAAACACGATTAAATTATCTTAAAAAATGGCGAAGTTATAGCCAAATTTATAGAAGTATTTTGTATTAATAACACTCATACGCACTGGTGGTCAAATCATATTTTTTTATTTTAAATAAAAATTAGAATGCTTGTCAAAGCATTTTTTCAAGTATTACCTTCACGGATTGTAAACAATATTCTCAGCTATTTAAACGTGAAAAAATATTTCAATTATCTTTAAAAATGGCGAAGTTATAGGCAAATTCATAGAAGAACTTTGTATTAATAACAATCATACGCAGTGGTGGCCAAACCATTTACTTTAAATAAAAATTATAACGCTTGTTGAAGCAATTTTTTAAGTATTATTTTCACAGTTTGTAGATAATATTCTCAGCTATTTTAATGTGAAAAAAAAACAATCAAATTATCCTTACAAATGCCAAAGTTATATTCAGATTCGTAGAAACGCATTGTATTAATAAAAATCATACGTAGTGGTGTTCAAAGATATTTATTTACTTTTGAGAGCCTTAAAAATGTTTTTGAACTTCGACCTTATGTTGCCTTAGATTTTTAAGGGTACTTCGTGGAGAGTAGGTGCCAAAAATATTTTTTTTCCATTTGGAAAAACAATTTATAGGCGGTCTTCACATTTGTACACCAATATCAGGATTCAGTTAAAAATATCCGGTTAAAATATTGGATTTAAGTAAACTTATTACACAAGAAATGAAGATGTTTTAAATTAAAAAAATTTACCAGATTAATTCAAAAAAATTAAAAATATCTGAAAATAACGTTTTTGCTCCAATGTCACAAAAAAGCAAAATTATAGAGCTTATCAACACAATTTTTCAAATATTATTTCCGCAGATTATCGACAATATTCTCAGATATTTAAATATGAAAAAAAAAATAAATAACCTTTACAAATAAAGAAGTTACAGCCATATTTGTGGATGTACTTTGTATTAATAACAATCATACGCACCGGCGGCCCAAAAATACTTACTTCATTATCAGGACTTATCTATGGCCAAGGACTTAAAATAATTTTTGGATCGGCTTTCTTTAGCCTCAGGTTTTAAATATATATTTTTTTAAAGGTGTTCTAATGATCAAAAATGCTTATTTTGAAGAACTATTTATAGAGGCACTGCAAGTGTTTGCACTATAAAATAAATGCAAAATTACAATAATCAACTGTCCAAAGCTCATTGATCTCAGGATATCTATTAACTTCTTTAATTTCCGAAGGCTATTTAAGCCTTTAATTAAAAATATTGAATATAAGCGAACTTATTAAGCAAGAAATGAAGATGTTGTAATTAAAAATAATTTAGCGAATCAATCTTACTTATACAAAAGATACATTTCGAAGGAAATTAGAATACTTTTCAAAAAACAAAATTTTTGCAGAATATAGGCTATATTCTCAGCTTTCTTAATATGAAAAAATAATAAAATTATCTTAAAAAATGGCGAAGCTGTAACCCGCTTTGTAGAAGCGATCCTTATTAATAACAATCATACGCACCGATGTTCAAAAGAGATTTGTTTATTTTTCAAGACAAATATATGGTATTGGACTTTAAAAAAATTCTAGAGGGAATATTTTAAACCGTGAATTTTGTAAAAATATTTTTGAAGAGCTAAATGAAATGTGGAAATATATAGAATATATTGAAAAATGTTAAAGACATTTGTCGTAATATTTTCTATTCATAGCCGTCATATTTTGATAAAATATTTATAGCCGCAGGTTTTTAAAAGCGTTTAATAATAGCTTTCGATTGAGCTAGATTTTTAAAAAGTATCCGTAGAGGATGCAGATTGCAATCATTAATTCTGAAAAATATTTTTTCAGGAGTATTTTATATTTTTTTGAGGAGTATTCCGATTTCAAAAATATTTTAAAAGATGCTATTAACAATACCGAATTTTAAAACGCATTCTTTTACAGCTATGTTTTTTTAAAGACTTCTTTAAAGGATATAATTTTAGCCGTGAACTTTTTAATCTTTTTTGAAGTCGCTATTTAGAATTGTAGATTTTTCCAAAAAAAAAATTGTAGAGGGTTATTTACACACACCCATTTTTAAAAATAGTTTTCAAAATCCAAATATATTCCGGTTAATATATACAAATTGTTTTTTTATAAAAAAAACATTTTTCTAAAAATATTCCTTTAGAGAACCAAATACAGCCTGAATTTTTTGAATAAATATTTAGATATTTTTGGAATCATTATTCTTTTATTTTAAGAATTAATGATGGCATTAAGAAGGAATATTTTTTGACGAATTATAAAAATTAGTACCTCTTAAGATCTCTTTTTTTCAATACGCTTTATTAACTACGTTTTCTTACACAATATACTCATATATTGGTTGTAAATGGTCTTGAATCCAACCGATTCGTGGAGTCGAGGAAATTTGTACATTTTTACTAAAATATTTGAATAAAATCTAATATCTACTCAATATTGAGATCAACTCTTTCAAACAAAAAAAAACTCAATTTAAAGAAGTTCTTGAGAACAATCTCTTGTAGAACTCTGTTTAGTTTATTAACCTCCACTACTGCATGGACAATAAATAATTCACAGAAATTTGTAAATACCCAATACAAGTTTGAATAATCACTAAAATCTGAAAGTTCCCAACTGGCTGAGCATTGTCTGGAAAATAATGAAAAAAAAAAATAAAAATAAACACATCAATGACGAACAGATAAGCCAGCGAATACTAATAATAACCACAATGTGAAAAGTTCCCAGAAAAAAAAAATCTGGAGAACTGATAAGAGCATTGCGTTAAATAAGGCAACAAAAAAAAACATTATTTTAATGAATGAATGAATTAATAATGCACACGATTACTCATTAAAAAAATGTTTGAAAAGATTCGAGCTTTTGGCTTGGGAAGATTACGATGGAGAAGAATAAATGTTGCAGAGGGGAAAAATAAATATTAATTTCAAATAGTTTTGATACAGTTCATTATAATGAATGAAATTTTGAAATTGACGTTAACTTGACTAACTGATCTTTTTTTCAAGGAAACGGAAAATCTCAAATTTTTTGTTACTTCTGTTGGATGGAGTTAGGTTAGGACTTTCGGAAGAAAAGGATCTCCGTCCTTGACCAAAAATTAAATTGGAAAAGAAATATTGAGGAGCAAGCGAAGAGGGATTACATCGCACTTTGTTTAGTGCAAAAACACCATAGGGCTTTATCCAGTGATTATATATCACCTAAACAAAGTTTCGAATCACTGGATATCCATATATTCAACAGCGACATCTGGACTCGTGACACCCCACCATTTAACGGTGCAGCCATCTATACCGATGGTTCAAAGATGGAAATTGGAACATGAGCTGGGGGTCTTCTGTGAATTCTTAAGTATCCGGTGATCCTTCGAATTAACAAAAAAATATTTGTTATCAGAAAAGCCATAGGGTCGTCGATAGTCAGGCGGCCCTGAAAGCTTTAAATACTTTTACAATGAAATCTATGGCAGCTCTGGAATGAAGAAATGCTCTGGAAAAGTTTAAGTCGTCTGTCAAACTCTGTTGGGCCACTAGTCATTGTAACATAACTAACAATGAGTCAGCAGATGTATTGGCCAGACGCAGATCTGAGTCAGTAGATCTAGAGATTGAGAGCTTAGTGAAGCCAACCCATTATCACTTCCTCCAAGTACTATACTGATGGTTCAAAGATGGAAAGCGGAACGGGAGATGGCGTCAAGCTGTGAATGATTGAGTATCCGGAGATCCATCAAATTAAACAACGACTGCAGCGTTTTTTCAGACAGAAATCTGCTGGTAAATATAATCAATGAACTGAATGAACCGGTGACTATATACATATGTCAAGCGGCCCTGAAAGCTTTAAAATCCTGAAATGCAGAAATGCTCTGGAAAAGTTCTCTCAAACTCCCTGGTCATTGTAACATAAGTGGCAATGAGTCAGCAGATGAATTGGCCAGACGCGGATCTGAGTCAGTAGATCTAGAGATTGAAAGCTTAGTGAAGTCACCCTTATGTCACTTATTCCAAGTACTACACAAACATTACACTGGGAGATTTAAACAGAACTGCCTGACTGGAAGGGGGATGTAATGTCTCCAAGAAAATATGGCCGGTGATCTCCGAGTGGAGATCAAGGTCGCTCATTTCCTTGACGAAATTTGACCTAAATCTTGTGGTGATCACAGGTCACTGCAAGATAAGGGCTATGACTTCCAATTTGGTGGGGGGTCGACCTGGTGAAAACCAGACGGTAGATCACTTATTTCGTTTGCAATATCCCTAATTATTCGTCGTAGGCCCCATCAAGTATATATATCATCATAATCATAATCATCATAGTCAGCATAAAATTCTAAGTCGATTTAACGATGCCCGTCAGTTTGTCTCTCTGTTGAAATC